TTGCATTATGTTTATGTATTTAGGGTGGCCAGCATTCATAGAGAGGTCAGAGAGTAACTGTTGAGAATTAGATCTCTCCTCCTACCATGTGGGTTCTAGGGTTGGAGCCTAAGTCCTTGGGATTTGTACTGTCTATACCCACCTAACCATATCACTGGCCCTGTTTTTCATATTGTGCAGGACCTCAATTGTCTTCTAATATGGCCTTAACTATCTATATTCCCACCCACAGCAATGTAGTTGATTCCCTTTTTAGCTACATTCTCACCAACGCTTGTTAAATCATTTTGATGATAGCTATCCTAAAAGATGTGAAGTGACATCTCCATGATGCTCATTGCCTTGATGCAGTGCTCAGTTCCTTTTTACTCTATCATTGGCCACTCAGACGTCTTCTTTTAAGAAATATCTATTGGAATCTTCTGCCCATTTTTAAAAATTTGTTATTACTGTTGACTAGTAGTAACCCTTAGCATCAAAATAACAGAATAGAAATAGCATTACATTTTATTTTGTCCTGAGAGAACTCATCCATGGATTTCATTTATCTAATTTTTTATTCATTCAACCAGCAATTGCTTCTGGAATAGGTAGACCTACAGACACTTGGCAAAGGACTGGAGATAAAATGATGGAAGAAACAGGGTCTGCTCCATCCAAAGTCACCATCTGCTGGGTTTTTTTCATTCTGTAATATTTATAAAATATTTACCACAAGCCAGACAATGTTCTAAGTTCTGGGACAAAGCACAGGATCAGTTACAAAACACACACACATACACAAAGAACCAAATATTGTCACCTTGGGAATTCATACAGATTAAACCAAATGTTGATGACTAAGCAAAATCCTGAATGATTAAAATAGTGAGTCAAGCATGTTGACAAAAAGCATGAAGACAAAACATGAAGACTTTACAGAATACAGACTTGAATTATGTCCTTTAAAATGTGACCATACTTTCAAGATCATGTAAATAGTTTTGAAAATATTTAGTGCCAGGGCCTTGCACATGCTAGACAAGCACTCTATCACTAAGCTACAGCTACAGCCTGCACTGTTCCGAGTTAAAATGATGTGCCATCAGATAGAAAACACCCAGGCAGCAATATACTCTTGGCACATTGAGAAGGACACTTGTTCAGTTGATACCTCAGACCTTTCTCTGCCAGGATTCATGTGCACCCACCATGCTGAAGTCTTCAGGAGAAGGGGGAAATAGTCAAATGTCAGTAGCCTATAGTTCTTAGTCTGATTCTCCTGACTTCTAAGCCCATGCCATCCATACTTACATTAGTCCTCATTTTAATAAACAAAAAGGACACCAGAAACAAAAAGGTTAAGACACTGAGTATCTAATCATGACAGCCTTACACTGAACCGACAGTTGGTTTTTAAAAGCAGGGTTCCAAGTAAATTGTCATTTCTCCATAAGTATTAAATATTGTTATTCTTCTGCATTCTAGTTTTCATGGTTTCTGAGAAGTTTATGCAATTCATATTTAAGAATGAGCTAATGAAATGTAGTTCAATTGTATGATAACCTAAAAATCCCTGGGTATGGATGTGGAGTCTCACACACACACACACACACACACACACACACACACACACACACACACACACGGGGTGGGGGTGAGAGAGAGAGAGAGAGAGAGTACCAGAAGAGTTCACTGGGCATAGAGTTTGGGTATTGGGAAAATTAAGTTGTAGTATGAAGCTCATAGATCTTGGGGAGTCTTTCTGGAGCTCACAGGTCTTAGGGAGTCTATCTGGAACTCACAGATCTTGGAGAGTCTTTCTCAAGCTCACGGTTCTTGGGGTGTCTAGCTGATCATCTAGCCCTCAGGATCCCTCGCTGCCTTCTGAAACATTGCACACACTTTCATAAACACCAAAGAGGCAAGCTACAGTCATTATGCTTGTATAGCTGGAGTTTCAGCCACTGGGCATACACCCAGCAGAGAAGATCTAGATTTAAACCCATCCAAATAAGTAGGTCTGCTGTGTCCCCTCCATTATACTCCATAAATTCCAGACTAGTGTCTACAAAAAGTCAATCATAACATTCCCTCTACCAAATGCCTTCGAACTTGGGATTATTTTAAGCAGGGTTTTAGAACTAAGAAGCTGAGTTCCTGATTGTATTAAGGTGTCCATATTGTCCTGTAACCAAGTGCTCTGCATGTATGGGATCTGACTCCGGTCTCCGCCAGGCTTGGGTTAAGTGAACTCTGTGGAGACTCAGGAATAGGATGAGTCCTTTGGATTCATAAACTTGGGAAATTCCTCAGGCAAGACTGATTGTTTATGGGCTTCTGTGGACTTCCCAGACTTCTAAATACATCCAAGTGTCAGGTCTCAGCTTATGAGCTGTGTCCAACTCTTGGCCAGTAAAGAGGATGACTGCACATGCTCAGAAACCAGGACACTGGAAGGCAACAGCCCTAGTGACCAGATTGCCTCCTGGGGTAGAGAAAATGGTAGTTTCTCATTCACATGGAAGTCCATGCAGTCAGCCAAGAGGTATTTTCAGAATAATTAAACCCTTACTCGATTACCTAGTTTATTGACTTTTAACGTTTAAATATTTAAACACTTATTTACCTAGTTTACCCAATTTATCTACTTTAAAAGACTGAATATTCTTTTCCATTTACTCTCTTAAAACTGGTTATTATGAAAATTTGAATGTAAGTAAAATAGAAATAGAAGTTTATTAAAAACCAGTGGAGCCTGCCATCATATTTCAGCACACGTGCTGATACCGGTTGCTATTTACAAAGCCAGCTAGACCTCCTTAAAGCTTCTCGCTGGGAAAGCCACATTCTTCTCTTATCAGGGTCTGGTACTTTGCACTCTATTTAATGTTTAACTAAAGTAATCCATGCTTGTTTTACTTATCTGACATGCTTATTTTTCATAGGAGCTTGTCTTGGGAGTAAAGAATCAAATGAAAACACTTAGGTTGTCTTAACAACAGCAAAGACTGATACCATAGATAAGACAGAAGGTTAAAGTCATAGATAGGAACTACCTGTGCTTCTTATGTTAAGTATGTCTCTGTGTGTGTGTGTGTGTGCATGCGCACGTGCATGCTCACTCACATGCTTGTGCAGGCAGACACATATTCCTTGTCTTTAAAAAGAATTAGCACAATACAACCATATACAAGAAATACAGCCAAGTCAGGAACAAATATAATTAGGTAAAGATTAAGATTTCCAGACAGTTTGCTTTTTCTCCAATACCACAAACGAATGTAGATAACTGTAAGCATACTTTTTGGAGTCTTTCCATGTAATGCCACATGTGCCCAACCCACAGCCCACAGGTAGCATTTGACCAAGGACAGCCATGAAGAAGCTCAACACACAATCATAAACTGAAGAAATCTTTGTCCTTTGTGCACCTCTACTGCACAGTTCTCAGTCATGAACCTGGCAGGCGACAATGTTGTTGCAGGGACAAAGGCTGGGCCTTCACCTACACAGTATGCTGGATGAAAAAATTTTTTTTCTCACTTAGCTCCCACCTATACTGAAGTCGATGCTACTTTCATAAATGTAAGTCAGTATCCGCGTCTCCTTCCTGACCATCCCACAAGAGCAGAGATGAATTGTTATATGCAGGGGAGCTAGGGAAAGTACCAGAAGTGTCTCAGTTGCTGTGGATTACATACTCAGACCATGTCAGAGCAGTGTGACAGGAGCCTAAGTGCTAACAAAAAGAAAGAAAGAAAGAAAGAAAGAAAGAAAGAAAGAAAGAAAGAAAGAAAGAAAGACTCAATAATAAAGGATCCAGTATCACAAACAATATTTTTTTTAATTTTTAACTTATCAACTACTGCCCTTTTATAATATCTGAAATTTTCATGGGAGTATCCCAGCAGCCCATGGAAGCATGGGCGAGTACTCCTTAACTTCCTAAAGGGCCACAGGCTCAGAAGGAGAGGTCCTATTCAAGAGCCAGCAGCTGCTGATGATTGAAAGTGAGAACATCTGTGAACCTGACAAGCAGAGCCACAGAGCGGCTCAAATGACCAATAAAAACCGCCAAAGCCTGTGTTTCATTGAAGTCAGAGAAACTATCACTTACACCACAAATAAGAGAATTTTCACCTTCAAATTGACAAGTAAAAGGGATTTAGACCTGTCCATGGTATACAAGACGTGTAAACGCAAGCACATTTCCCTATTCCATCCTCAGAAAGAACCTTAGAAGTGTGGGGAGGACCTAGGCATCGGAGGTACAAGGAAAGAATTATTGTGTCATTTTTTAAAATGACCATATGTCCCCACATGGAAATATGTTCATATAGTATACCTGCACTTTAGAATATCGCCTCTATAGAAATGAGCATTTCTTTGCAAAGAAAGTGCTTTTTAATTGTTATATATCTATGGAAGTGGTACTCAAAGTATAGTAAGAATTGAAGAAACCTGAGGATTTTATTATCCATTTCAAAATGCATCAATTTTTAATTTTAGGTAGATTTACCTTGGTATTTAGCCAGACCTTGAATCTGCTTCAAAATAACCAGCAATATTTCCACTAACTTCTAAAAGAAAAAAAAAATCTTCAAAGTAAAAACAAAGCTTTCATGAAAACATTCTATGGACTAAAGTATAACATGTCTTAACTGTGAGATGCATGAGAAACCATAGGGATTTCACCATCTAATACCTTCCAAGAAGATACATTGGTAAGTCTTTTCTCAACTTGTAATCAGCTATGTTAGATGTAGTGTTTAAAAGCATGTTGTATTTGGGGGTTGGTCAGATAGTTTGTATTCTTTTCTTTTTATTGTTTTTTGAGGGGGTAGGTACAAGGATAGAGGGCAGGTGTGGGAGGACTGGGCAATGAGTGGGATTCAGGTGCATGATGTGAAATTCGCAAAGAATCAATAAAAGATTACCTTTTTAAAAAGTACATTACATTCACATTATATTTTTATTAGTGGTTTTTTTTTTTTTCTTTCTTAATGGAACAACAGCCCATTTCACAGGTTCTTCCAACACAGAACTGTAATTATCCTTGCACAGGGGCCATGCTAATCTTCTCTGTATCATTCCAATTTTAGTGCACGCGCTGCCGAAGCGAGCACCAGAACTGTAATTATCAACAGCACATTTGGCTCTCTGAAACAGGCAAAGAACAGATTCCAGTCTTCTTTGGTACCCTGTAAGCCCACATATGTCTCCCAACATCACAGACACACATTACTGTACAATCAGCTCTCCTAAAGGTGGCAGCACTCCAAGCCTGTGTGTCCCCAGCCTCTGCAGCAAGCTCTCATTTATGACATCTGGTTACACAGCTGGCGAGGCTGGCTGCCAACAAGACAAGCCACCACTGTGTGTGCATTGACCCAATGGCATCATTTCTAATATTCCTAAACAATAATAGATGTCTACAAATATGCTCAACTCATTGCAGATGTCTTCGTCAAGGGCTCTGATGCCTGTGAGGGTGTCTGTTGGTTCCCTGACTGGTGGAACTCACTTTCCTAAACACAAACACTCAGTCAGAAGGTGACAGGTGTCCGTCCCAATGTTCCCGTTTCCTCTCTGGAGGTGTATAATGTTGAAAGTGACGCCAAAAAAGACACTAAAGGTAAGGGATGGGAAATGACCTGAAAGCTAGAAGGCAATGTTGATGATCAGAGTAGTAGTAACCTAGAGAAACAAACGGGCTTGTCCTGGACTGGAGGGCTGCTCTGAGATCACATGCCAGTGGGGATGAATGAGAGACCAGAGACAAAGGAAATCCCAGGAAGTCCTGAGAGAGGCGTTCACTGCCATGAACCAGGTCAAATAAATAAGGAGTCCTAGCAAGTGCATGTCCTATGAACACGGAAAGACGACAAGCGCATGTTCCAGTGGGCTCAGTCATCGTGGAAAGTGGAGAGGCTTCCATCCCAAATGTTTCCTTGTTTTCAATCCTCCGTCTCACAGAGTCTGATGACTGGTGAACCATGTGCTACAGCAAGCTGACTTCTGAAGCTGAGACTTGGAAATGAGCAGGCAGGGATTTGAATACATAATTCAGTGTTCAGCCACCTGGAAAATTTCAGGTTTGTGCTGAAGCTGAGTTTCCTTGTGTCCCGATCCTCCTTTGAAACAGAAGGCATACATACATTCAGCTGTCTGCCAAAGCAAAAAGAGAAAGGAGAGGCTGGACAAAGCCACCCCAAGCTCACTTTCCTTAGCCTTTGACAGAGGTTTACCAAGCTAGAGCGCCAAAGACATCACACCACCTTCCCCCAGTTCCATGCTTCCCATCAGGATGACTCAGCTCTGGACTTCTGGACAAGCAGGGCAAGAAGACAATGCAAACTCTGAAGCTGTCCTATGCACCTCACTCCCATGGTCAGGGTTCCCGGATGAGACAGGAAGAAACATGTGCTCATGACCTGCCTCTCCAGTGAGAAGATTCTTTGTTCTTCATGCTCTAGGAAGTCATGGATTTCTCTTCAGGTTAGAGAGGAGTTACAGCAGGCTCTCATGGCACAGTCTTGAGCTTAGCAACCCCATAGTAGATTTGCTGACTTGCTCCCTGAGCAGTTAGTTCTAAAGGGGCCATGGACTTTCTAACAAATGAAAATGTATAAGGAGGTCTGTCCAGACTGTGCGTGCATGTGTTTACGTGTGTGTGTGTGTGTGTGTGTGTGTGTGTGTTTGCCTGTATGTGGTGTTTTTGTCTATGTAGGCACACTTGTGCATGTGAGAAATTCCCTTCTGATAGATATAAACACAGGATTATTGTCCGGAGAGTGGGTGTGGGTTTCTGGCTCTCTCATTCTCTGGGTGAGAAAGGCGGAAGTATGACTATTTAAATGATGGGTGTTTGCAGGAAACAAGCACAAAGGTCCATCCAGTCATTGGTGGTTTCCAGTGGGCTCAAAGGCCTCTCTAATCACACTTTTATAAGTCACTTTCTCTTTCTCTCTCCGACTTTGGATGTGGGACATGCCTTCCCACCAGAGATCATTTTCTAGCACCATAATGTTTTCCAGAGACTTTGAGACTTTCTTTTGCATCATGGTGACATGGAAAATTCTAGAAATAGATTGATGACAGTAAAACTTTTTGAAGAAGAAGAAAATCTAGGTGACTTTGTTCCCAAAATCTGATCTCAAAATATTTTCAAAATTAAGGATGTCAAAGTTACTACAAGAAAAATGGCTTTCAGAAATACACTGCAATTCCCATCAGCTTTTCAGTATCTACCCGACGATTATTAGTTGAAACAATATGCCAAAGCTATATGAATCGAGGGTGAAGACACATATAGCTAATTGCACTTATGAAATAACTAACAATTCTTGGGTCCTGCCTCTCTCTCCCTCAAAGCTATTTATAATTATACCCACAAGGTGATGAACAGGTCCTGACCCCTTGACCACAATTCTGCAAAGGAATGGCCTGTAACTAGGTCACATGGTTACCTATAGTAGTGAAATGTTGGTTCCAGCTCTGAAGTGCTATTGTTTAAAAGAAAGTCCGTGCATACTCCAGTGTTTCCATAGAAACCTTTAACTCCATAAAAATATTTCCTAAGAAAAGTGTATCTTTGAATAAAAGAGACTTTTCATTTTTTCATTTATCCTTATTTCATGAGTGTGGGCGTTTTGCTCTATAAGTACCATGTGTGTGTTTAGTGGCTGGATCCCTGACAGTGTAGTCACAGATGCTCGTGAGCTACCATGTGAGCACTGGAAACCAAGTACAGGTCCACCGTAAAAGCAGCAAGTGCTCTTACCTGCTGAGCCATCTGTCCAGCCCTCAAGAAGAATTTTAATTTTAAAACAAAACTGTGTTTATTTGGTTTTTCTGTCCACGTTGAAAACTGAAGAAAACCTCTTAAGAAAAAAGGCATACAGAATATCAAATAGACATTTTTTGTATCAAATATCAAACAGACTAAGTTATATATTTCTGCATTTACCACACACATCAAGTGTGTGTGTGTGTGTGTGTGGTAAAAGCTATGTCAACAATATGGGTGCATCAACAAGGACAGCATCAGTGGACACACTAATAAAGAGGGAGGACACCTCAAGGGATCCAATCCCAGATGAAGAACCGCAGACAACTAATAACTACACAGAGTAAGGATTAGCCTCTCTTGGGGATACCCTAAGTGGTTATCCAATACAAAGTGGTCAGACCTGAAATCGTGTTCACACAAGCAACACCAAATGGATTTACCGGGGTAAGTTTATATATTCATGTGTTTACATATAGGTATGTGTAACAATAATATTCAAAAGAAAAATAGGCCATCAATTTGAGAGGGAGGCAGAAGCCACATGGGAGGGGCTAGAAGAAGGAAAGGGAAATGGAGAAATGATGTATTAGATTTTACTTAAAATTTAAACATTGTCAATCAGGATATTTTAGCACTCAAACTTTTCTCTTAAAAGTGTAAAAACAAACAAACAAAAAAGCCATTGGTGTTAATCAACTGCATTTCCTGTCACATCTGTGTCCCGAGTACTTGGACATTTAGTTGACTCTGACAGAGTGTGTCTTTCCCCGCTCACTGGCTTTTCCAGTTCTAAGCCTGTGTCTTAAGCATTTCAGTCAGGACAGATTAATAATCCCTCTGTCCACAGATGCCTGCTGACTCGGAATGAGTCCTTTTCTAATTGTTTTGAGTGCTCATCGGTGCTCATTCTGGCTCTTGGCCAAGTATCCAGCCATCAGAGAAAATTATCCTTCCACGTCCTGACTCTTCTGGTGAGCATAGTCACCAAATCAGACTTTTTGCTTAGTGTATGTTTTTAAATGAAGAGCTGTTTGTTGACTAAAGTCAACACAGCAGAATATGAAATGCTGTTATGCTTTTTATTCCCCACAAATGGCATATCTTTATTGGAATTTATAATCTTTATTACTAAGCTTCAAAATCTCAATTTGTATTATTTCCTTCATGACACTCTATTTTCAATCCCTTTCTGTCCTTTTCATCTCTACCCTTCCAAAATTAATGTATATATTTTCTGATATAATCACCTTCCTGCTGTTTTGCATTACAGGTCTTTATGCATGCTCTATCTTCTTGGGAGTACATATTCATGCTACAGTTTCAAAAAAGAATCCTGATGTCATGGCCCAGAACGTTTTGAATAGTTTATTGCCCTTCTAGAGATAGAAGTCCAGAATTATGAATCCTCTTCAGCCTGGACGATGTTTGAACTTCCCCCCAATGCTTAGAGGAAGCTTCTGTGTGGGAGATCTGTTCACTTTTGGGCAGTGTAGGTTGGGTCCTCATAGAAGGAAATGGAATGTTTCCATGGGCTAACTGATTCTAGAGTAAGATGGGGAGCTTATCATGGGATGATGAGTGCACACAGGGTAAATGCCAAATTCCCCCATTTCCTCACTAAACCTACAGCCAGGAAGATTTGGTAAAGGAGCATCACTAACCCCAGGAGAAGTCTCTATAGCACTGAATGAAAGAGTTCCCACTGAAGGCTCATGTCCACTTGAGCTAAGAGTACTGATTTTGCATGTAGCATGTGAGGAAAGGATTTTAACTGCAGGATTTTTTTTCCTCCTTATTTCATATGTATGGATGTTCTGGCAGGAGGTATGAATGTGCACCATGTGTATGCAGTGCCTACATGGCCAAAAGAAGCCAGATTCTTTTAGACTGAAGTTAGAAATGGTGTGAGCCACCATGAAGATTCTGGGAATCAAACCCAGGTCCTAAATCAGGTCCTCTGGGAAAGCAGTCAGCTCTCTCTCTCTCTCTCTCTCTCTCTCTCTCTCTCTCTCTCTCTCTCTGTGTGTGTGTGTGTGTGTGTGTGTGTGTGTGTGTGTGTGTTTCTCTCTCTAGTTTTTGAGACAGGGGTTTCTCTGTGGCTTTGAAGCCTGTCCTAGAACTTGCACTGTAGACCAGGCTGGCCTCGAACTTCTGCCTCTGCCTCCCTAGTGCCGGGATTAAAGGCATGTGCCACCGATGCCTGGCTGCAGTCAATTCTCTTAACCACTGGGCCTTCTGTCCAAACCCTCAGTGACAGGATTTTGTCTTCTTTCTTCAGCATGAAAGCACTGGGTATCCAGCCACTGACTTGCACCCCACTACCTAGATGCACAA